GAATAAATCTGTGTCCAATAATTTTGTGTCCAATAATTTGGTGTCGAATCGATCGGTGTCGAATCGTACTGTGGTCAAACGGAACACGCCCGATAATATAATCGTAGATGGTATACGATTCAAAGCAACACAAGAATTGTACGAATTAATTTTCATGAAATGTCCAAAGAGCGAGTTATATACCAAAGAAGATAAGCAACGATACACAAAGATACTAGACATAACACTTGCTCATAGAAAACATAACAATAGGCTCGGTGCAATACTGGGTAACAAGGGATACAAATACAGATACATAATTGCACCTTTAATATCCAGTGTGCGTACTAAGCAAGGGAAAGTTGTACCGCGTAATATGACGCTAAGCGATCGTAAGATCGAGTACGCGCACTGGGACGATCCCAATGAACTCGTCGACCGTCTGCGNTTGCTAGACGCATCCCGTCAGGCTAGCTATATTTCTCACGACAACGAAATCCTGTCGATCATCGAGAAACTCCGCGAAGCGGGATTCATTATAAATTAAATAGCGCGTCGGCGTTAGAGTCAGTCGTGTGCGCGTCATCATGCCAATCAACAAATTTGGAATATCGCTCGGAACACATGGAGCGTCGATGTTTTATTATTATGAAAGAGAAGCAATACTGCAAAATTACATGCGTATTAACGCTCTCTGCTTTATCGGTTCCGGCTACGATGCAAGGTCGCGTAAGATACTGCATGTAGCGCAACCTGATACCGACACTGACGCCGCCAACAAACGATATGTAGATATGTACGTCACGAGTGTAAATGAATGGCAAGAGACACGTGAGAGAAAAATTATTGCATTGCAACAAGACGTGCAAGCGTTGCGCGACGCTATAAAACACATGCAGCGTACACTTCAATATCTATCAAACCAAAATAAAACGACTGACACAGTAGACATATAGTAAGACATCTCTGGCGACGAATCGTGTTACAATCGAAAAACAACGTCTCGTAGAAGAATTGCATGCTCCGGCAAGAAGAAATTTTCCCCGTAGACGCGTTATCGTACGCGGGTACGATAATCTCTGGCAAGCGGATGTGGTAGAGATGCGTCCGTATTCGCGCTTACACAGAGGCTACCACTACATACTTACGGTTATCGATGTGCTGAGCAAATACGCGTGGGCCATACCGCTTAAGAGTACAAGTGGATGTGATGTCGCCAAAAGTTTTGCAGGAATATTTTGGGATAACAAACGATGTCCAAACAATTTGCAAACTGACCGTGGAAAGGAATTCTACAATATAGATGTACAAACACTGATAAAGAAGCATAACATTAATCATTATTCCACCTATTCTGTTATGAAGGCTTCAAGTGTTGACCGATTCAACCGTACGTTGAAGAACGACATGTTTAAACAATTTACACTTAACGGAACCTATAAATGGATCGACATATTACCGCGTCTTCTTACGGAGTACAACACGAGAAAACATTGAACTATTGGAATGCGACCTATTGATGTTACCCCAGCAATCGCCGAGAAGCTCTTAACCACGGTGTACAACAATGTCAAGATCACAAGGCCAGCACGATTCAAAGTTGGTGATCCGGTACGTGTGAGCAAATTCAAAACAGTATTCGATAAAGAATATACGCCTAATTGGACGACCGAAGTATTTAAAATCAATAAAATACAAACGACCTATCCTGTGACGTATCTGCTTGAGGATTCACGCGGACAATCTGTTGCTGGAGGATTCTACGAATACGAACTGCATCGCGTTGCACATCCAGACGTTTATCTCGTGAAAAAAGTATTACGCAAAAATGGTGAGAAGGTTTATGTAAAGTGGCTAGGATTAGACGAGTCATACAACTCTTGGATAAATAAAACTAATGTTCTGTAAACACATTATATACGAAATATATATAAATTACAACATATAATTATTACACATATTAAATGACAATATATACATATAATATACATTTAATCTATATTATACACATTTTCTTGTGGTATTTTATAATGTCTCCATGGTAATGTTTCAGTAGAATCGGGTACGATATATCGCTTATCGTCATACGGACTTAGAGCAAGTTTTGATTCAGACATAGTGTATACTTCGTGTGTCTTTGATCGTATACACGACTGTCGACAAATCTTTTCAGTTTCATCGTTCAAACACTGCTTGTAATCGTCGAACGTTAATGTTCGCGCTACGACGCTACTCTTTACACCTTTGGCCTTTTTTGTGTTTCTCTTTCCATCCACTTTCAATGCGTACAGTTTTGCTCTAAGTCCGATGAATTCAGTCATTATTATTCCGTTATTTTTATCCTTCATCAATCCTGGAATCTGTTTGTTGACGCGCGGCATACCATACACGTTATCAGCCGGATAATCATTTGTGTCGAATCGAACGATGTCACGTTTCATGACATCGTACACGTTCTCGCATTCCATGAAATAAATGAGACTGTCTGTGTCGGTGTATATAAGTTTGCATTTTTCTTGATACAGAGGTGCCATGTAATCGTGGTGAAATTCATACACACACATTTTGGATATGTCTAATATACACATTCCTACGTATATCAATTTGTTAAATTTCACTTCGAGTTTACGCAATTCAACTGCAATAAAATTTTCAGAAAAGACGCTTGGACTATGAAAATTTGGTCGAGAGATCAATGCTTCTGCACCATATCTTCTATCCCACTGTGTTAAAAGTTTTATATCTACATGAGTACGCATATTTTCCATAGTTTTGCCAAACACTGCATTATTCATTAACACGTTCACGCCGGCGTGACCCATCGGTGGGTCACACCTGACTGTTCCATGGGGCGGCGTGACCCACCGGTGGGTCACACTTGACTATTCCGTGGGGCGGCGTGACCCACCAGTGGATCACACTCGCCCCACGGAACAGTGTTGCCCCGCCCCACAAAGCGTAAAGAGACAAGACAGTCCCGCCTCACGCGAAAAAACGTAGATTTTTGCCCCGGCGTGAACGTGATAATTTGTACAAATTTTTCTCAAAGTTGTTGGTAGCGAGCGTTCGAAATTGTGTGTTTAATTCGATGTAACTGCGGAGCCACGGAGATTGCGCAAATTGTAATATTTGGTGGATCTTTGTAATACAAAGACTGTGTCGCACACATTGTTGCAAAGCGCGATAATGAACGATATAACGCGATTTATCGTGTAGTGTTGCAAGCAGCTTCTCCTGTCGCTTGCCAGGCGGCGTATTGCGCGTCGACAAGAACGGTAGGTCAGCGTGTGCGTCATGCAGTTCGCGAGGATACTTGAGGTCGACTTCAAAGATGTAACCGATATCTGAGGTTGCTGTCACAGACATCACGTTGACACTCCAGATGTCGTCTACCCATTGGAATGCGGCATACGGTAATGGCTGACACATTGCCCAGCCGTAGAGTTATTTATATCAAAGTACATAAGATACGACGTTTGTTTTGATGAGTCGTACTTCTGCATGTACTTGTTATTTGCGTGCGCGTATCTTGTGCTGCACTGGCTAAGACCACCGCGTATACCCCGATCAATAAACATAATTATATCAACATCTGTGAGCAGGTCGAACGTTATGCCTGTATGTTTTAGCATAGCGTCCCACGTGTAACCGGGTAAAGTATAATAATGCGCGGAATCTAATCCCATAACTTCGGATACAACTTTTTCGAAAATTCTCAAATATATCTGCCAATAACAAAACAGCAGTTTGTAAATATAAATCGCTGTATTCACCTAACGTACGTATAGAGAATCGTTGCCAGATGTTTACAACGTGTGCATATTCACTCTCAAATATTGTTTCACCGGTCAGAGAACTGTAAAATGACTCGCGCGGTGGTAACCGCTGCTCTTGCAACTTGTCGACACAGTCCACGTAGTCGTATGGAAAGACACCTTTACGCGCTAATAATTTAAGTTTTTTGACGGATAGATTTCTGAATTCTGATTGTAATATTTTCAACTTGTCTTTATGAAGAAACGATGCTAATTTTTCGAGACTAGCGCTGAGAAATTTGTACAAATCGATGAATCTCAACTCTATATTGTAACTCTTTGGAGTACTTTTTTCCGGTTGCGCGACGTCCTTGGAAAAAGATATGTATCTCTCCTCGTTAATAGGGAGAACAGTAACTTTTCCTTCCAATGCATTCGCAACTTTTGTAATACTAAAATGTGCATCGTAACCGGATAAATTGTGAAAAATTACTGGAATACAATGCGAATCTTTATGTTGCACTTTAAGTTGCAGTTGGAGTGCACGGGACTTCTGTACCGACCGGTCAGGTGACAATGATCGCGAACTTTTATATCATCCGCTGCGAATGGTTTTTCACACACGTGACAGTGACTCTCAGGACGATAAGCTGACTTTTGTTCTTCTGTTAACATTTCCATGCGCACATTATTAGATAAAATTGTTTTAACTCAATTAGCCAATTCTTTGAGTTCATCGACGAACCATGTGATGCAATCTTTGCCGCGACGATATCGATAAGCAGAGAAAGAGTCGTTGTATGAACAGCAGACGTAATAGCCTATGCTGAACGCCTTGTGATGTTAGTACGTATATAACGTTTGCTGCGTCTCTCCATCAATTTTGTGTAATACGCTCTTAAGGTCAGCATATACTACGAATAGGAGACGTTCTTTCCTACTGTGGTTGGTAAAACTGAGCCACTTGGTGTCCTCCGCTGGTAACTAAATCGCGCAGTTGTTCATTTTTCCGCAATCTACGGTGTGGACACTCAACTTATCCAGAGAATGGAAATAGTGTAAATATCTGCAAATATATAATACAATTATTTCTCATTATCTCTTACGTACACATTTATACATATAATGCAAGCATACCTTTCGCAAATATAATTTTTTCCATTATGCTTACTCAATTGTGTGCTCACAAGTCGAGACAGATCTTTTATACATGCAAAGTGGCCACGATTAACGTCTCGTAGATCCGAAACGTAGAGCAAGTTTACGTGTTTCTCTCTTTTTTGCTCTGTGCGACGTATTGGGAGGATGACAAGTTCGTTTTTCAGTTCGTTCTTCTTTTTCCTCTTCAGTTCTATGTTGTACACGTTGACAGAGATGTCGTTACGCCGTTCAAATTTTGATATTTGGTTTACACTCATTGGAAACTCAATGTCCTGAAGATNGGTTTACACTCATTGGAAACTCAATGTCCTGAAGATTTAGTACTGTTGTATAGTGAGGATACGATGATATGCGGTGTCCATTTTCTTCGGCCGGATAAAGAGCAGCGACTACCGACCATGCAAAGCATGCATTATCCTCGGATAGCACGTTAATCACCGCTCTCTTAAACTTAACTTCTGGTGGCAAATTTATATGACATTTTGTACGCAATGGATTGTACTTGTTCACATTTACAATTAAATTGAATATACATAACAAGGCCCACCCGCTATCACGTTCCTGAAATTCATNTAAAAACGCCAACGTGGGTTCAATGACGTATCGCTCGTACCACTCGTCTAAATTGGTTGTACAAAAGAGTTCTGAATTTCTTGTTGTTATAGTTTTATTGGCTCGTTTATCTCCCGATATAAATTCACCATTGAACATTGTATTGATTTTCAGACTATTGTGTTTCTCAATGGCATTTCGTACTTTTTTCAACACTGTGCTTTTTGCGTGTTCGAGAAAATCGCAAGATTCAATATGATTTTTGTTAATGATAGCACCTGTCATTACCCTACTTTCAAAAGCGGTGTCTATCTCTCACCACGTAAGTCCATGCCCGGCGCCAATGTATACAATTTGTCTGCGCAGTGAATTTTTCAAACTTTCGAGTCGCGCAATTCTAGCGACCAGCGATTGTCTGATTTCTACAGACAGTCGCGGACGCTTGTTCCGACTATGTTTTCTTCCAATTATTCGAGATATTCGTCACATTGCTGCTCCCACGCGACAACTTCTTCTCGCGAATTCAAACGTCGATATCTCCACTACATTACGCTCTAAATCATATATTTCATGAAAAAAACTTCAAACAAGTGAATATTACGTCTTCGTTATTTCTCGCTAAAATAAAAAAAATTCAATGTTGCAATACTCTTGCTAAAAATCGCAACGCGGCGTATAATGTTACATACCGCGGCACATGTCGAAACACATATGTGCACCAATACATAGTTGCTGTTTTTTCATATAACAACATAAATTTCTTGGAATCGCCATAGAGTTGCGCAACATTCAAAAATGTTACTTCGCGCTACAATTAAAACTGTGCACGTTCTCGCTAAAAAGTGCAACTTTACCCGCACTGCGTATAATGGCACGTGCCGAAAAAGAGATGTGCAATAGTTGTTTCATGGTATATAAAAACATGTCTTGGAGTCGCTATATTGCTACGTAACATTAAAAATATTATGCCACAGTAACAAGTACATACCGTGAAGTCGCCATATTGTCGAGCCGCCGCCATATTGTTAAACCGCGTGTCGCTTCTAGTGCGCGTGTGACGTCGCCATAAACGGGGTCCTCCGCCGCGTGACGTTATATCTTGCAGCGCCCCGCGTGACGTCATCGCGACGTCACTGCCACGCCCTGCGTGATGTCATCGTGACGTCACTGTCACGCCTTGCGTGACGTCATATCCTGTGACGTCAGAGCCACACCCCTGCGTGACGTCATATCCTGTGACGTCATCACCCCCTCCCCGCGTGACGTCTAAAAATGCACTACATTAGATGAAAGTGCTGTTACAAAGAAGATAGATATTATGTATCTTTTGGTTTATGTAAATAATTATAGTTTCTGTAATTGTTTGTGATTTTTGTATTTGTTCAGAAATTTTAGAAACTCTGAAACCTTTTTCTGTTTCTCTGTGATTTATGACGTTAT